GTCTCGAAAATTTGGAGCAGTCGCACTCTGCTGTTTCCAGTATCGAAAGAGACGTCTCTTGTTGTATTTAACTTCATTCACGTAAGAGCGCCGTCATTGACTTGGGATTAATTTACGGAAAGCTAACCTTGTATTTGTATTGTGCAGGTGTTTGTAGCCGTGGCCCTTCCATCTCTTGCCTACAGAGAAGCCTCTGATTACAACGCAGACTTGGAAGGTACAACGTTTTCATCCTCAGTTTTAGTTGCCTATTTCCACTGCACTGAATTTGTATCAATACCGTTTGCTTTTTGTTTGCTGAGGAAGGAAAGAAGTGGAAAACGTATTTCTCACACACAGTTGGGAGTATAATTTCGAGTATGTGGGGGTCTTTAGACCACATGGTTTAACCTGCCCCGCCCACCCACCCTTCATGTGTTTTTTGGGTGTGTCTTAAGATTTAAAGTATAGTGCCATAGTTCTGGTTGTTCCCTGTTTTGTGTGAGAAATTTCTCACGTTATTCAGGTTTCTTGAATATGGATTCTACTGTGACGTAAGTAATCGTAGCAATCTCCAGAATTATCTGTTTTTTGTAGCGACCTTTGTTGACTTACGTATGTGATATAACTTTGCAGTGCATGAAAACAACGCCCACTGTATGGCAGCGGCCATCAATCGCATTACAGGAGCGCTTTGCTTTAACAATGGAGACAGTGCTGAGGAAAGGCTTAGAGAATTCTTAGCGGTATGTGGGCAAGATTTTCAAATGTTTTATACATTTTCTAAAAGTGAAGTGAAGTGTTCCGCAATAGGTGCATATAATGGGCCTTTTTCGAGTGTCCCCAAACCACTGTTTTAAAGCGAGGCTAAGTGCGAAGCCTTTGATACGAAAAAGATTTACTATTCTCAAGCAAATAAAACTCACTTTCACAAGAAAGGTTTTGCATTTAGCCCGGCCTATTTGTCTTGCATGTAGTAAAAAGGTACAATAACTTATTACTAGAGAAAAAAAAAACGGACCAACCCCGAAAACGTGTTTAGTTTGCTTAACTGGAAGTACTTCATACGCGATTTATTTTGTTTGCATTCTTTTAAACGGAAATTAAATCTGGTTGCTTTCCATTGATATCTGCCGTTTCAGCGATTTCAACTGTTCCAGAATTCTTTACATGTTGACGTTAACTAATATATTTTGACTGTACAGATTGCGTCCTCCAGTCTGCTCAAACTTGGCATTGAAACAGAAAAAGACGTTAAGGCTCGAGAATCAACCTATCTTCTGTTAGCCCTGGTAAGAAATTGTAGTTCACATTTGTAATTAGCTGTTGTTACACCATTTTCCCTCAAACAACAAAACAAAAATACCAACCATCAAACAAACAAACACATGCACTCGAGTCTTCTACGAGTTTAATAGGCCCCAGCCGTCAGAGACCTTGAAGGTCTCCTTATACTGGCGTGAAGACTGCTCTCCCTGCTGAGTTATCCATCCGTTTGTATGACGAAAGTTGTGGGCTTAAAAACAGGCGAAATGAGTCAGCAGGGTAGTAGTAAACCGCTGTAGTAGTAAACCTCCTTTGCTGCTTGAAGAATACATCGGTCCCTGATGTACAACCTCTTTCTCTGGGCTTTTCGCCATTTTGGATTGTTTGTTTGTTTGTTTGCTTTTTTATGCGGTGCAGGGGTGAGAGCACTCGTTCCAGTCGTTGGGTCACCGAGAGATTATTCTCCGGCCGCTCCCGTTTACACCCTTCCCCCCCACCCCTTCCTGCTGAAACACTTCCGAAAATACATGGAAGTTTAGTACAGAGTTTTTAGGGGCTTTTGTGTACTTTCTTGAAGGAGGGCGCTGATTTATTTACGGTATTTTAATTTGTTTTCATAGTATCTCGAATTTCTGTAGGAGCACATACTCTTCTAGCACCAGGTGCATAAAGTAAACGCTACCGTCGGACGTTAAGCTTAGCCAGCAGAGAATAATGGAACAGAGGGTCCCGCGCTCAGTCTCGCCCTTGGGATATGTGTATTTGACCAAGGTTATTTTTATACCAATTAAACGCTTCAAATCAAACGAAAATTTGTCTCCGCAGAGCCGGGTACTCGATTTTTTATTCATTGTTGTCATGTGAGAGTAATGGGACATTGTGTACTCTTGGTATGTCGTCATTACAATATTCTGCATTGTTTGCTTGGACAGAGTCGCGCGTGGACTTGATAACGTTTCAAACAATCGACTAAAATGTGCGGACCTACCAGGAATTCGCATGTCTCGGTCAACGCCCTAAGATTCCCTCTCTTTTTACGCCAGACTGTAGTACATGTACTTACGCCTTACAGGTGGTTTATACCACTTTGCGTTCATTCATGTTGAATTTGTCCTGATCTCTTTTTGGGTAGATCGTGAATGAATCTCCATACCTTACAATGGACGTACTTGAGTCGTGTTTTCCTTACGCCCTTCTGAGAAACGCTTACCATGAAGTGTATAAGGTGAGATAAATTCCATCATTTGCAAAGCGGCCTATATTATAACTAGAAAATACCTTGGTCACCCATTTAATGGTTAACATTCCTAAAAACTACCCGTCTTATAGATTTCTGTTTATCCCATAGAAAGGAGGAAAAGACTAGATTGATTAGCAAGTTGCTTGGAACTCATTCTACAGAACGATATTTTCTTGAAATACAAATAAGCTTTCAGAAGTTGATTTAAGTTTTGACTGATAATGGTGGTGGTGGTGGCGGCGGTGAGAGATTATGCATAGAACTGAGGAGGTCTGTTGTTGACTTTCTTGTCTAAAGAAACAGTGCAATCGGAACATTTCGAACCTCTTAGGGGAAACGAAATTGGTTTCGGACGCTTCAAAAATCGGGCATCCATTTGTCTTGAGTTTAGTTTTCTGCACGAATTTGAGGAAACTGTGGAAACAAAGCAACTCTTCGCTATAGCCAGGTCTCGATAAATCTGTGGATAAAATTCCCTTAAAATAGGCCATTTGCACGATGGCGTCATTTTACTACTACGACCAGAATTCTTTTTGTTTTTCCTTTCACATTTAAATTTGGTCATCCCAGCGAGGTTTAATTAACAGAAGCCCTAATTTAGACAAGAAAGCATAAACGCGAAGGATTCTGGTCGTAGTAGTAAAATGACGCCATCATGCAAATGGCCTTTTGAGTCAAAGGGAAAGCAAAACCCTAATTTGACTTTACCCTGCGAACAGGCTCCCAGGCGGACTTGGTTTGACGGGACAGGGGAGACATGGGAGCCTCTCCTACTCCCCTCCCCCTGCCTCCTTAATTCCCTTTCCCCTCTCCCCGTTCCCTTCTCGTTCATTGGCGCTTTCTCGGCTTTTCTTAGCTCTGCATGTCCCATGTTAGAGAAATTGTTCAATGATCGTGGAATGTATTTATTTCATAGTTTAAGTTTACTCTTCGTTTGGTTTTTGTTTTCTCTTGTTTCAAATTCGAAAGAACAAACAAAAACAAGACTAAAACAGATTATTTCTTTGCCTGTTTCTTAACAGAGAAAGCCTGAAGTCTGGCTGTAAATCTCAAGAATCACGGTTTTACAGTTTTATCACTGTGGATGTTGTCAAATGTAGTACAAAATTAAGATTTCTACCAATCTAGATATCTAATAAAGCAATTACCTTAATCGCGTAGAGGTAACTAAACGTTCTTTTTATTGAACATGGTACGTGTACATTATTACCGCAAAACTTTCCGGAATTTCTCCTTAAAATAATGGTACAATAGCTGTTGTCATGATTAGCCTGCTGGGTAAATAGCTGAGCCATAACGGTTTTAACGACCGGTTATAGCTCTTAACATAAACCCCGATTGGGACTTGAATTATAGCTGTTTTTATTACTGTTTTGTATGCGTATTATAACTGCAGTATTTTCAATAAAAGAGGAATACTTTCTACTGACAAACTGTTTCGTGAAAGAACTTCTTTACCGTCTGCTCCGATAAATGCCTATCTTAGGGTAGTCTGCTACACAGTCGTTTTTAGTGTCGTCACGCAACGCTCCTATTAGTGGGGAGGAGCGTTGCGTGACGACACTAAAAACGGCTGGTGTAGCAGACGAATCTTAGGGTAACTACTAAATACAAATTCTCTTTTGCCAAATATCAAACCGGTTAAGTTGAGAATGAATGATCAGTATTTTCTCGAAATTTTCACCCAAACCCATCAATGCTGTGCAAATCACTTAGGAATAAACTGCACGATCTGACTGGATAGACCTGATTACAGTAAATGACGTAATAAACGCCCGGGGCGTCTATTTATTTTAGAGGTCCAAGCGGGGGCGTTAATAGACAGGAGGCGTTTATTTGAGAGAGGCGTTTATTCTCGTAACTTTAACGAACTCAACAAAACTTACAAAGCATGCTTTCGGCGAAAATTCAGTCCATCTAATGATATTTCCAGGCCGTCGTTGACGCTCGTTTTCATTGCTGAAGCTTTTTTAAAACAAGATTACTGTATAGTTAATATGCTTATAAGTGGTGTATATAAGTAGATCTGTAGTAGTTGTGTATATAGTAGGTCTGGCAAAAGGTAAGCGCCCCTAGGTCTGTTTCAACCGTCCTGCTACTTCCGTGCTATGCTGTCTTGACTTTACCTAGACTTGAATCCCAGACGTTGCGATAGTGGGGACGGCGCAAAAACAAAAAAAAAAACAAAACCAAAAAAAAAAACAGAACAGGAAAACTATCCGGACGTTTGGCACTCAGTAAAGTAAACCCCTATGTCGCGGCAAAAAACACAGACATAAAAAACAGGTTAGTCGATTTTAAAATGTTTTCTACCTAGAATACATGAATTGAGTTGCTTCGCCGTTCTATACGGCAGTATCACTACTTGGTTTTAGACGTTCCGCTAATGCCGTGCTGAAGTCGACAGTAGCACGTCGTTTGAAACGGGGCTTGGATTGCTACCTTAGCTCGTGCAAAGTTAGTGTTCAAAAGATAGAATAGTTTGTCTAGCCTTCGCCTTCTGTGGCGGCTGTGTTTAAAAGTTCATAAAAGTCAAAGCGATCAACACCAACAATCCGCATAGTGTGGTTGTTTGTGGCATCTTCACCGACGACTTGTCCGATGGGGGATTGGAGGGATCATTGCACAGATCCCCCTGGCAACATTTGACATCACAGTTTTTAACTTGGATTTGAGGCATAGCTTCAAACGCGGTCTCCAACCCCCCGCAGGTTTGATCCTTTAGAAAGCTGCATAAAGACATCACGGAGCAGTTGAGGACAAAAATTCGGATATCCGTAAGGGGGACGCCTGGGAGCGTTGTGTTTACGGATATCGTGACATCTGCGGTGTAACAGGAATCGGCCAAGTTTCCTATATTTGGATCGCTGCTGCAATCAAGGCTTTCAGTGGGTTTGGAGCAAAAGGTCAAGGATCCCGAGTTGGCATTAACATTTGTGATGTTGTTGAAGTCTGGGTAACACTGGCGGCATTTTATGCCCCAGGCTAAAAAAGAATGAAAATTAAAAATTTGTAAGGGCACAGCTCGGTATTTACTCGATTAACCCCGCAGTTGGAAGCACAATTATCAATGAACGACACCCTCGACTGAACGCCTCACTCGATCAGAAGAAAGCGGCGTTTATCGAAGAAGCGGGTTGAATTTGTGACGGCTTGATTTCCCTAGGGACATGGAAAACTATACCAGTTTAAGCACTGAAGCACACGTACCAGCTTCGCGGCCAGTACCTTACGCATTCGCACCAAACCATATCACCCCGGCAGTGGCAGCCATGGACAGTTGTTTCGCCCTTATTGGGAAAACTGTCCGTAATAACGAGGTGTTTAAGCTGTTGTTCGCAAAGCGGGGTTCGACTGTAATGTAGAAAAACTGATCATGATCAACTTATCTCCGCGATGTTGTGTGCTGAATTCCCATAAGTGCAGTACATCGATTCAAGTGAGTGAGTTCATGTTTTTGAAAGCCGCCGCCATTGTGACTAGTGAACACTTAAAATTATCGACAATTTTTGTGGTCAGTCACTTATTGTTGTTAAAGTGTCCCTTTCCCCTGAATAGAGGTGTCCATACAATAGAGTTAACAAATACAAAGATTATGCGAACATTTTTCCGGGACCAAATTTTGTGTCCTCTGAATGGAGATGTTCCCTGAACAGAGGTGTCCCAGAGGAGAAGTTCCACTGTATCTATCTTTCTATCATGTGGAAAAAAAAGAATGGTTTTACCTAGGTGTTCAGGACAGGATACTAAAATTCTTAATCAAAAATATATAATGCAATATATAATGCAATATATAATAATATGTATGACGAAGTCCTCCTTATAACGAATGATATCCTTCGCCCCTTCAAAAGAACAATGGTGGAAATCGGAACCTGCTGTATTTCACGAAATCTCGTTTCAGCGAACATATTGGTCGTATTATTACCAAAAACACTGAGATTTTGAGAAAATAATGGCCTATACGACCACGAAACTTTTGGGCGCAATATTGGGTGCCATCTCCTCTAAGAAGTTGTCAGGCGGTTTCGCATCATGGGTTGACGCCCTGTCAGACCTCTCCTTACGTCCTGCTTTGCATTCGTCGAACGCTTCAATGGCTCGCTTGCATGGGATCTTCACATCGGCTGCAAACAGGCTTCCACGTAGAGAACCTTCCACGAATTGCCGTTGCTAGAAAACGATAAATTATTGAGCTCGAAGGCAGATAAGCGACAAGGAACACAACATGGAGAGGTGGAAAGGTTATTTTTCGCCATAAATTAACGGTATTTGTACTTTTGGTAGTAAAACTACCCTAAGAGTAAAATAGGCACAAAAACGTGCAATTTTTTTTTCGACATTGCTGCAAAACGAGATGAACAGTGATGGTGCGCGTAATCAAACCTGTCTTGCACCAAATCAGGTTGTTTCAAGGTTGTTGGAAGCTGCGTGAATGCTGACTACTGATTGGATAAAGTTGCGCGGGAGTCTCGCCATACACGGGAGTTTGGTCACTTGCTGCAAAACAAGTTTGCCCTTAAGCCGGTGAAATGGGCAACATGTACAGATTCTGCTGTAAAAATTGAACAATTTTCTACCTTCTGCAACAAACGTTTCGCAACCTGCAGCAACCTGAATTGTCAGACAGGTTTGAACGTGGCTGGTAAAATGCGGAACATCGCTATTCAACTCGTTTTGCAGCAATGTTGCAAGACAAGTTGCAGGTTTTTGCCTGTTGCCCGTTTTATCGTTGCTGATAAAATCTCGTCTGTTCCGATCCGATGCAAACCTTTATGATATCTTCTATCAGACCGTTACATACGCGGCAACTACTAGTTAAGTTTATAATCGTCCATTGTACGCTCAATTGATCTTTGACCGCCTGTTGCTTGATAAGACCTGGAGAAAAAGAGAAAAGGCTAATGACGGTGTGGTTACCCAAAACAAACGTGGGTGGCGTCGTTGCTGCTAGTCTGCAAAAACACCTTGCCATATATATCCCTCCAACCAACGCAACGGCTGATATATAGTCTGGTGGAGGCATGGTAAAATATGGACGTGACTAATGGACATTTGGACTGTTGGACTATTTTTTGGACCATTTTTTGGGACCAGTTTAAGGAAGGGGCTAATGACTAGTTTTCTTTATCAGCGGTGGAGGGGAGCTAGAGTGGTAATTATAACAATATTCTTGGGGAGAGTCAGGAACGTTGCTTTAGGGGAGGGTGGGTTGAAGTGGGGGTGGGTTTGATTAGCTAAGATGTTACAATTTATTTTCAGGGTTAGATGTGTTTATTATCTGTGGGGTTCGGTAGTTAGGTAGTTTTTAAATCTGCGTGGGAGTGGGAGTGAGAAGGTGAGATTCTTAAGACGTCTTTCTATCCATCGTCATGCGAATGCGAAACTACGTCGGTTGCAAAGACCTGCTAATTACTTGACCAAAAATGCGCGTGTGAATGCCTAAGTAAAATCTCAAGTAACTTTACTTTGCATCTCATTAAAGTCGGAAAGTGGAAACGATTCAAGAAAGTTTCAAGTGACTTGAAAACCATCCTTAAAACCAACTTAGCGAACTTGCGGTTTCTAAGCATTGAGAAAGGCGAAGCATGTCAGTCAATGTTAATTATGTTTCGTGGGAAAATAGGCTTAAGTAAACCTGAAGAAAAAAAGATAGGTTGCGTGTGAAGCTTTCTTTTACTTGAAGAATTTAAAATTTACTTGTCTTGAAATATTTTTGAGCTGATTTAGGCTCTACACTAGATCCTAAATAAGCTAAAAAATATTTCAAGACAAGTAAATTTTAATTATTTCAAGTATAAAATAAAAAACTTCACACATAACTGATTCTTTTTTACTCGAAACATAATTAAGATTTATTGACGTGTTTCGCCGTTCTCAAAGCTCAACAAACCTCAAGTCAGCTAAGTCGGTCATAAGGACGGTTTACTTAAATGAGATGCAAAGTAAAGTTGCTTGAAATTTTACTTAGGCTTTCACACACGCATTTTTGGTTAAGTAAAACTTAGCAGCTTTTAAGTCTTACTTAACACTCCCAGTGTAAAGACAACTGTTGTCTCTCCAACATGACAAAATTACAGTGTAAAGCGACTTGTCAGAATGAATACTGGGATTCTTGGTGGTGGTTTGCCGCCCCGTTCTCCAAATCCTGACCCTATTCTATTTCTATAGCCCAAAATGTTATTTTTCTTAACTATTGCTCAACAATAAGCTCTGCTCAGCAGGAGTAAGCAGTTCAGTTCAATAAAGCATGAAGCCCGTCAGATTTCTTTGTTTTATGTTGTTGACGCCTTTTTTGACTTAGTGATGCACCACCCTGAAAAAATAGAACTCCTGTCGTTAAGCCTGCAGCCCCCTCTCACAATCTCAGGAACCAAACGTTAGTGGCCAACTCGAAAACTTTTCTCCTTTGGCCTCTACACACAATTGTATAAAACTGGCTTTTTTCTCATTGTTATTGCATGAATAAGAGTAATTAAACGAACGTGAACTCAATTGATTTATATCTTGAACTAACTGACCCACAGATACGTCAAGTTCGTTTATTCAGTCCAATTTGTGAACCAATTGGCATAAAGCATAATCCGGGCCTAATACTAGTGCGGTAGCATTATGCTAATTTTCACCTCAGTAGAACAACCAAAGTTGATAAAAGCGAGAATATTCCTATCATTTTGATCTTACAAACAAACAAAAACTTCGCATTAAGTTATTTCGACACACCTTGAGAACGAAATTAAAACAAAGGATTGTGCACCGTCACGGAGCTTCCAACATAAACTACAATACTGTTGTTGCGTGTGTTGTTGTTGTTGTCTCTTACTATATATATATTTTTTTCATAACCAGTCTCCTCTACTCATAGCTATGTAGGAACTGAATACCTCAGATCAGACGATCCTAAAAGACCCAAGTGTTACGCATAGCCAGTATGTTTTGACCTGCAGTGTACAGGTTGAGTCAGGTCGGGAGCCAGCTGTTTCAGCTGGTTTAGTATTACGCTGAAAATTATGCCGCCATATCAGCTATAATCCGTCCGGCAGCGGAACTTTCACTGTGGAACTAACCAAACTTCGTTTATCTGTCGACAGGCTTCCAGTTGAGCGTTACAAATCCGTTCCTCATGCTCGAAAAGAAGCCCAAGTAATCATTCATCATGCTTTCACTCGTGAACAACAACAATAGCGTGCATTTATTTTGGCGCTCACGAATGAACTCGAAATAATAATACACCGTTTGTGAAGACCTTTCGGGCCTTGGTGGACCCCGAAATATCGGCTTTTCGGCGTTCTCTTGAAGCGGACTAAAACCTGATGTTTATCTGTCCATAATAAGTTTCTGAAAGCACTGGATCTGTTCTTTTTGTAATGGTTGGTTGTACGAACTGCTTGAATCGCGTAATTCTAAAAGGTTTAAGTTGAAGAGGCGATAAATAATCGAAAGGACCAGGGGCCCGTTTCTCGAAAGTCTCGGTAACTTAACGGGCCCGGAATCATATTTTTAAATCAAAGTCTCAAGAAAAGTAGGGTGTGCTCTGACCTCTAATGAAGTCCATTTTGTTTCGTTAGCTAATAACTCTACTGTATAATTTTCAAAACTTTTAAAACTCCCTTCTAAAATGGAAAACAAAACAGCTTAATGGGCCCGGTAATTATCGGGAGCTCCGAGAAACGGGCCCCAGGCCCGAAAGAAACAAAAAATAGTGCGTAAATAGGAACTGCAGAAATTCTTGTACAATGTACGCAAAGAACATTTACATTCCTGTGTACTTATTTACATTCCTGTGTCCTGTCCTAAAACGAAGGAAGAATATTTGTTTTTACAATTGCGTGAACATTACGCCAAGAGAGAGCGGTGAAGAACAAATATTGAGCGAGGTAGAGATTCATATATTAATCATTTGTCCGCTTACCTCCATGAATGCCTGCCATAATTATCAAAAAATAAGAGGGAAAGTTCATCTTGTGCACAACTTTAGCTACCACAGATTTCGATATGTGGCTTCTTGTTGCATGTGTAGTAGCAGCTGAACTGTTTCACCGGCGAGAAACGTCTGATTGGTCGACGCGCGACCACGTGACATTGCTAAATTCAAAATGGCGGCAATATCTCCATCGTTTGTTTATTCCAGTGGAAAGAAGATTAATTGCGGCTTAATATCATTATATGGGTTGTAAATGCATATACGGATATTTTTAGAATAGCGTAGACTTCTTATTATCCTTCAGTTTTTCACCCATTCCTGTGGGATTCGTTCCCTGCGATGCTCGCGTTTTGGCCGGTTAAAAGGATTCAACTTTAGACTTGTTCAAGCCGTCACTCTTCACGATCACGAAGGACAACCATATTTCTGATAAAAGCGGGGCCACTAAGCTCCACTAGAAAGAACGGCCTTTGTTCACAGCTCAATGCAGCGGAGAAATAAGACACTACGGGTCCTTTGAAATTGCTTAGATACCTGGAAGTTATTTTATTGTTATTTTCTTTTTTACCGAAAAGATAAAGCAAAACTATGTTTTCTCCAGCAAGACTTTCTAATTTATAAAAAAGAAGCTTGAACATGAGCTAAATGAACTGTAGTGTCTGCATTCATGTTCTTTTCATTGTGAATGGGTGCAATTTTAATATCAAAACTTTAAAGCCGTCTATGACCGAGCGGGCTTTTTTTTCTTTTTTCTTTCCAATGGTTACTGGGCTTGATCTGAATAAGATAATGAAATTTTTAAAATTAGGGGAATACTATATATAAAAGAAGAGAACGTTGATTGCAATACGGTTAGTAGGAAAAAATACTGATTATATCTTTTTAGTACATAGGTTAGAAAAGTGATGCGTAGTCAAAAGTGCTACAAAGGATTGAAAACCCAGATCTTCCCATTAATAAATTTTATTGACACTGTCAGGGACATATGCTTTGCTTGAGTACACATTTGTTCGTCAAAAATCTTGTCTGTGAGGCTGCACTTTGTTTGATTCAGGATCAATCAATCTTTTCTGAAGAGAAATGAACAATAAAGTATGTTAACATGTCAGATACTTCAACATGGAGCCTTAGCCAACAACTAAGAAGAAACTCAACTTCATATAAAAAAACAAAGTGAAAACTACTTCACTGTGAAACAACAAACCCTTCAAATATATATCACATTAAATTCATGCAAAATGTAGACCTGATGAGAAGTTTACAGGAATAGAAACAAACGATAATTACAATGAAACTATAAAGTTTGAATGAGATCTGTATTTGAGTGTTCTCTCATAATTCTGTCAGAAGATCAAAATTGCACACTGCATATCCTACACAACTGAATTCATCAATATGGTCCAACTAAAATTTCATTAATACTCAAAGTTTACTCCAAACTTTAAACTCCTGTAAGTTTAATTTGTGATGATTTTTTTTTCTTGAAAAGAACTTTTGAATACATAACTTTTCATAACTTTGCTCCAAAAAAAAAAATAAGCCGGAAACGATGGACAGAAAAACAAAAGCATTCACAGGAAAATTACCCTGTTCACCTCCTTCCAGGATCCAATTTTCAAGCAAAGAAACACCCCCCAAAGAAAGCCTTGTGTGCAAAAATTTAGTACCGAAAAATTGTACACGGAGGAAATCATGTCCGTAACTGCGGTTCCTAAAGTAACAAGTAACTCGTTGTGTGGATAATCCCAAACCAAATTTATGAGAAAAATAATCTAACCTTCTATCCTTCAATTATAAAATTGCAAGCCTAAATGTACAGCAGCTGTGCACATTGTAAACATAATTTTTTTTACAAATCAGAATGTTGCTGCATGGACCTATCGAACTGTAGCTCCAAGACGGTCTAAGCGTTTTAATGAAACCACTCTCACATTTTCTTATTCGACAGTTCGGATAAAACTCAAATTTCTGTAGCATACAAAGCTGTAATAATGTGCAACAACAATGAAATGTGCATCGATCGACACGTTTCGAACGAAGCACTTTAGAAAACTGCCGCAACCCGGCCGCTTTCGATCCACTCACTAGCCACAAGACAGTATACACAGCAAGACAATGGCTAAAAATATTTCTTTACCTTTTTTAAAATTTCCTTTTGTACCGAGTGACACGAGATTAAGTTGAACCAAGCGTAAGCTTATTTTTCTGCCATAAACAGTGTAAACACACGGAGATTTAGCATCTAAATACAGTTTTTCCAGCAACAAAGTACAAGATAAGTCATATTAACAAAACAAAGCGCAACAATGTCTGTCCCTCTACTTTCTTTTTGTTGAATCCGTGATAAGAAACTTGAACTAAACAACAAAAACAGTTTGGATAGCGTTGTAATACGTTCTTCGATCAACAGTGGAATGCTGTCGAATGTTAGATTCACAATCAAAGTCGAATTTTGACACAAAAACGGGATACACATTTATCAAAACTGTCGCTTCCGTGCAACTCAGTACAAGCTAATTCATATACCAAAACAAAGCCCAATAATTTTTCTTCCACTACTTTTTAATTTCTTTTTGTACTGAGTTGCACGGAACATGCAGTAAACAAAAAGAGTAAAAATTACCCAGCATGTCTTCCACACGCAAACCAGCGATCTCAACGTCAATAACACTGAATCAGACCATGCCAATGCGATTTTTCGCCAGTTTCAGGGTGCTATATTCTCTAGAGAACACACTTCCGTCAAAACTTTGACCAAAATAATTTTTGATCTCTTACAGTGGCAAGAAATTGCAACCCGTCATCGCCAAACAAAGCTACCATCGCATCTCTCATCTGAACAACATTTCGCGGGCATTTTCGCCTCGGAGCCAATGACATTACCCGAAATAGATCACGTGTCATTTTTAGTAGAGCATGCGCAGACATTTTTCGCCAGTGAAGCTTCTGCAGCTGGAGTAAATGATTAAAAGCTACAAAAACTCTCATAAATCTTCAGTAGGCATGTTGTCCAATTAAATGCACAAAATTTAATCACATGAGGTAAAAATTGAATTCAGCTCATAATTTGCTCATAGTTGTAAAGAACAAGGTTATGACCCCAGTCAGACGTCTTTGATAAATAGTTCTTCTTCTTTTCGTTTTCTTTTCGTTTTTTTTTTTTTAACCTTTTTTGAGAATAAGCCATACATGAAGTTCACTGAGCATTACTATCATTTGGAGGTGACCCTCCCACCATCCTTATATTCGCAGATGTTGTATTCACGAAGCCCTGGGATGGAGTGGGGGTTGGGGTGTAGGGGGTGTAAGACTTGTGCAAAGGAGGCTAGATTAATATCAACGCAGTCAAAATATTGGGACCAAAACCAAAGGATTGTGTACCGTCGGGGAGCACGCTCTTTTCACATTTGATGTCCATCTCCATTAATTTCTTGAGTCAACCCTTTCCCGAGTAGATTTATAAATAGAACGGCTTGTTTCCCGCGAAAAGTGTCATATTCTATACCTGCCAACTTTTTCTGAGATATAAGCGTGAGATTTTTATCCTGGGAGTGCTGGGATTTTTGAAAACGACACGATCATTTCCGAAGATTCCCGAAGAAGTCCGAAGTCTTCTGAAGACGTCCGAAGTCTGCCGAAGACGTCCGAAGTCTGCCGAAGGCGAAGTTATCGAGAAAACGCTTATCCACAAAATCAGAGATCGCGAGGAAGGTATTGTCATTTATTCATTTTACACATGGTTTTCGTTCCTTACATGGGTCTGAGTTAACATATTTTTGGAAATTGTGTCCAGCAAGACGGCAACAACTCACATTTTTCAATCAGGCGTGAGAAATTGGTCCGCAGGCGTGAGCGGGCGTGAGATCGAAGTTTTCAACCCGCAGGCGTGAGAGTTGGCAGGTATAATATTTCCGTGAGTCTCGTATGTCACCGTGAAAAAAATGAAGTTGGATGAAGTCGAACTCAGAAGCCCGTCCTTCGACCGTTTTCCTTTTTTACTATACGTCCATTTTTACAGTTTTACAGCCGCTGGGATCTGGGATGAAATAAAAGTTAATGAATTACCCGACTGAGACTGAGCATGAAGCGGTGGGACAAAGGCAGCGAACTGAGGATCACGGAAAGGTTCTTTGCGAGTGTATGTTTTTGTTTGTTTTTTTTTGCCGTCATGCATCCCACATTTAAGCATGCACCTTGAAAAGAGTCGACGATTAAGCGTTCTGTGGACGATTTAAAACTTCTCGATGATCAGCGCCGAAAAAGTGCCAGGATCATTTATTTTTGTCATCGCCGTGGAGTGGATTTCGCCAGTTAAGCACCGTGTGCAAAAGCGATGACCTAAGTAGCAACTAAGGAGGAATGCTTCAGAAAAATTGCAGTCTTCCTTTACAACTGACTTGTATCACCATGAGAGTTGCCTGATAAAACTGGCACTTGAAAAGTTGAACAGAAGACAACAGTTGCTCGACCGTGAAGCTAACTCAAAAGTAATTTGCTAACGGTGGAATTTGTGACATCGCGCTCCAGTCCAAAGACCCTCTTATCTCAAGAAAAACAAAATGGATTGTATCTGCGCCCAAAGAATTATGACTTACTAACAGGAGAATTCTCAGCAATTAATGTAGAAGTTTAGGCCAATTCTTTCCTTCGAATTCGCATTTGTAGATCACTTTTTTGCGAGAAAACAATGGCTGGGCTCGGCGTTACAAAACATAGCAGGGAATCATCACACTAACTGACGGACAAAACAACCACAGTATTTATTCAGACAAACGCATTTCGGATAAAAACTTGAAAAACTAGAAATTTGATTAATATTGAGTCATTTAACCGAAATAAGAACCTTAACGCTCAGAAAAATTGGCTAAAGAAAACGAATCCTGTCAGAACTACAGACTGCAGGTAGTAGTTAATCCTTACGCATGTAACAGACCAGCTTAATGTGAGACAAGCAACCAAAATTAAGATTAACATAGTCAGAGTTTAAAACTCTCCACAGTATAATCTACCCGCTAGAAAGAAAAGAAAGAAAATCTCTGAGGGATGAAAACGCCAAAGTCACGTTTCACTAGCTTATGATTTTGTTTGGCCTGTCAGCACCGGATTTCCTGC